AATAATATAATAACTATTAACCCTCTTCTTTATTCTTTTATCCCCTCGATCCTATTACTATATATATTATATATAGCGTACCCTCTATTAGCGTACCCTCTAACATACGATAAGCAGCTCGTAGTTATTATCGATTACTTAAGAGTATAAAATACGGAGCTTAGGGATATTATTAAAGAGTTTATAATACTTTTAAACTATAAGAATTTATAATACTTTATAGCTTCTAGTTTTAATTCAGGATTATAGCTATTATTTATATCGAATGGATAAGTATAATACTCGGCCTATATCTAAGTTCTATTAAAAATTAATTTCCCGTTAGATTAAAAGGTTAGAAAATAAGTATTATATTATAGAACCTTTAATTAAGACTTAGCTATAGAAAGACTTTAAGCCTTTACTTAGAAATATTCCTAACAAGGTATTTAACAAAAGTCTATAGAATAATAAGGCTTTAAGTTACTTATAATATATCCCTTCTATATCTTCTATTCCTATAGAACTCTTACATTCCCCGGAATTACTTTTAGCTTTTAAATAGAAGTTCAGTTATATTCGAATTATATAACTAATACCTCTTAGTAAAGAAATTAAGCATTAGTTATCTTTCAAACTATAGAAATAGGACCCTAAGCCTATTTCTTAGATTAACGAAATTACTAATTTTACCTATTAAATAACCGACTTATAATTATAATCTCTAATAATAAAGGTAGATTAACTTAAGCTCTTATAAGATTATAATTAATAAAGTTCGGTTCTTTAGTTTTAGACTCTTTATTTAATTAGCTTTATTACTTCTTTTTCCTATAAATCTCTTAATTAGAAGATAAAGTATTTATAAGTTCTTTTTTATAATCTTAAAATACTCCGTATACGGATTATTAAATAAGCTAGATAGGGTACCTAAATAATAAAAATAGTCGGTTAATAAATAATATTAGCTATATATATACTTAAACGAAGTCTCCTCGTTTATAGAATAACCTTTAATTAGAAGCTATAGTAATAGTATTTAAGCGATAAGTAAAGATTTGTTAAGTAAGTAAGGAGAAGTATAGATTTATATAGAAGTAATATAAGATATAAGATAATATATAATAATAATATTATAAAGGTTTAATTATAAAGGCTATAATAAGCTTAGATCTATTCGATCTGTAGAAAGCACTCTAAGCACTTTAATAAATAATATAATAACTATTAACCCTCTTTATTCTTTTATCCCCTCGATCCTATTACTATATATTATATATAGCGAACCCTCTAACAAGTAATAGGTTATAGAATAGAGAAAACTTAGGTAGAAGATTAGTAACCGTTTTAGATTTCCTAGTAATAGTCTATCGGTATAAGAGAAACCTATAAGGTTCTGATTAGAAGAAGAAGAAGAAGCGTGTATATTATTTAGAAACTATCTAGTAGTTATAGTAAGGTTTTTATAGCATTTAATATAGCAGTATTTAATAAACGAAACCTACTTTTCTTTAGATCCTGGAATAATATAAGAAATCTTATCGGTCCGTTAAGGATTCGAGCTTATGTTATATTGCGTTGGCCTGTTCCTAAAACCCGTATATAACCTGGGTTATAATAACAGTGAGCCAGATGGGGTGCCCAAACAGTGGAAATGGTCGGTTGGTAAGGCGGGTACTGGCTGCAGGCACGCCTAAACTAGGTCTCCTCGTCTGTAGAATAACCTCTAATTAGAGGCTATAGTAATAGTACTTGGACGATGGGTGAAGATTCGTCGAGTAAGGTGAGGAGAAGTGTAGATTCGTATGGAAGTAAAGGGTCACAGAACAGAGAAAACTTAGGTAGAAGATCAGTAACCGTCCCAGATTTCCCAGCAACAGTCTATCGGTATAAGGGAAACCTGGGAGGTTCTAATCAGAAGAAGAAGAAGCGCATATATTATTTAGAAACTATCTAGTAGTCGTAGTAAGGCTTTTATAGTATCTAGTATAACAGTTTTCAGTAGGCAAAATCCACTTTTCCCTGGACCCTGGAATAATAGTATCTTATATCTTATAATATTTATTAGTAGCTTTTACTTTTATTATTATAAAACTATTATTTTATCTTTATATCCTATATATATAGACTATAATAAAGGAGTACTTATATTCTAAAACTATAAGTCGCTTATTTAATCCAATTACTTAATACTAAGTTTTAAATTTTAATAAATCTATATAATTTGTTTTTAAAAAATAACTTAAATAATTAAAAATTAAAAATTCAATATTTATAACATTTAAAAAGATTAAATTAGTTTTATTACTTTAATTTAGAATAAATAATATTTAAATATATTTTATATTTTATAAAATTTCTCTTATTATTTTTCAAAAATATTTTTAAATATTATTATTTATTAAATATTTTAAATAAGATATATATATATATAAGTTATTAAAATCTTTAGTATTAAAGTATTAATAATTCCTATTATGATACTTTTAAATTATTGTAGATACACCTACTTATTCAAAACTTCTAGAAGTTACTAGTTCTGTAGTATAAAAAATGATCTGGCCCGGGTTCGAACCGGAGACCTTCAGTGTTGTCAATCGGTTCTGACACTCGATTGTTAGACTGACGTGATAACCAACTACACCACCTGACCAATTATTGGGTATTAGATCTAAAACGGCAATATATGTACTCAGCTTTTGTCTTTTGGGGTTTAACGGCGCCAATCGCTCAGTCAAGGAATATATTACATCTTCTCGAGGCTACCTTTGGCCATATCATTCTTATACATGCATATGCACATTTTGAATGAATGACTCGGCCGATCGTTACATTCGAATTGCAATGTACAAATGTTACGTGGTGATTTTAGTAAGTGTCTTCCCATCAAATGCCAGAAATCAATTGTCTTGCACCCATGAGACAAGTGAATACAACAAAGTGCACAGCTTGGGAATACGAATCGAAAGATTTGTAACAAGTAAAATAATGTGCCTGCTGCTCAGCGTATCCAGAAGGGCCTTCTATGCTCAGTCCACCATGCGCCGCGCTAATCGTATGCTCGTAATCATCATGCTGTATAAATATCGTGCTCAGTGCCCATTTAACTTGGCTCAAGCCCACAATGTCCTCGCGTTATCTCTAAAAACTCCGTTGATGAGCTCCTGGTCATCCATACACCATTGCATGACGCGTGTGACCCAAGGCTGGATGTCAAGGCCTTCGAACCGAGTATGAGGCCAATCCGTTGCAAAGACAACTTTCTGAGGTGCCGCACGCCTGCGCGCATTAGCATGAAAGCACTCGATCATCAACAGTATATATCATGGAATTAATCTATGCGCCGATCTCATCCGAGACAAGCGCATGGAATAGTCGAAGACGATGGTAAAGTGCAATGACCAGAAAATCGACTTACAATAGTTCGCGCGCCATCGGCTCTACATGTTGAATATAATCGTCTTGACCAGAGAAACGATAGGCTGCAGATAGTTTGACGAAAGTGTTACCGTGTGCTAACAATCTGATTAGAGATGCAAAGCCTTTGAGGCTGTACGGGTCTAGTGGTGAATTTGTTGTTGGGCAGGATTTTAGGCGTGGAGCGCCCATATGGTCGATGCACACTCTCACACCTAAAGTTGGAATTATAGGTTCCAAGTCCGGTATCATGTGAAGCGGTACGTAGAGCTGTACAACCCATCCCAAGGGACGTACGGCTTCGGAATATTTTATCAGTTCGGCTCCCATCTTTGCATGATCAACGACGTCGCCAGTTGACTCAACATTGAGTCGCACACCTCGAACCCCCAAGTCATGCCAATCTTGCAATATACTGCTTGAAATGGCGCCTGGCGAGAAAGCAACGACCCCCCTTGCACGTGCAGAACCCAAGGCTCTCAAGGCATCGAGAAGACATGAGTTGTCCGGACCGTAGACGGAGGGCTGAACAATCACAACGTTGGAAATGCCAAGTGATGTCTCAAATGTCACAGCTTGGGAAACATTGAACATGCTTGGCTTGTATGCAGCTGTTGGTGCCAAGGGATAACGTTCGGCATCGCCCACTATGTGCATATGACTGTCCCATGAGCCCGACGGCAGGCGAGGTGCACAACCACTGTCCTCGAAAGCCCAAGGTGTCACTGCCGCGTACTCTCTATGTGACGAAGACGACTTAACCTCCAAGGCATTCGAGACTGGAGCGACGAGGTTGTGCGAAAAGGCTGTCTTGTCCGGGACTCCTGCTCGAAGAGTGCTCCTGAAAAGACTTGCCATCGCTGAATGGGTCCGGAGGAGAAGACCCTGCAAAAGTGGCCTTCACTTCTTGGTGTGCGAAAACGAGCCGGAAGCAAATAGCGGTGGCAATGCTCGTTGGCGAAGAGTAATCAATACCGTAGCAGCAGCCGTGTTGCTAATATGATGAGCCTTGATCAAGGAGTGGATGGAGTCGAGTCGGCAGTCCCAACGACGGAAGAGGCGAGCCAAACAGGTGAAGAGTCGAAGAATGTTGGACTTCGGCCCCGGAAGTGCTCTGGGCTATATACGCCGTACGCGGGTTGTTCGAGTGATGAATTCGTCGTGCTGCATCACGGCTCTCAACCGAAAGAAGTCTAGGGTCCAGTCGGCTATAGCGAACAAGAAAGGCCACAAAAGTGGTGGTGCTCTGCCGTTGGTTGAGCAAAGATATACTCAAAAAGAACAAGCAAATGATGGCACGCCAGTAATCTAACAGCCGAGTGCGTAACAGACGGGACGGACGGGCTAGCGCAGATCTCTCGTTCTGCCCAGGCAGTGGGCACAAAGCGACGAGTCAAAATCGCTTGACCAAGCAAGCCTCTGCCGCGGCAAGGATGCAAATAGTTCGCATGACATATGGCGACGGGCCTAGGCTCTTGCAAGGCCAGGAGCAGCGTTGCTTTGTGACCCAATAGCCTAGGACAGCCTACGGCTTCTGACCGAGCGCCTTTTGGTTGGAACTTTGGCATCGGCGGTTCTACCCGGCTCCGCATCCAGAGTAGCTTCCGTTCAGTCGTGCTTCGCCGCGCGCCGTCAGCCGGGTTGACACAGCCAAATGCCCGGGACAACGGTACCAACGGTACCCTTCAGACCGTGCAACCTCTTGCCTCCCAACTCTTCGTGTGTGAGAGGTTTGCCGTTCTTTGACCCAGAGCACAAAGCTGAGAGAGCTCGGCTAAACGGTCGAGTACGAAGCGCATGTGCAGATGCAGGCCTGGACTGACTTAAGACCTTTGCTTGGTCGGCTCGGCCAACTTCCGCTCCGGCGCATTTCCACCTCATGGCCCCACTTGCGATGAGATAACGGGGAAATCAGTGGAGGGAGGTCTGTGGGAATTTTTCCCTCCCACAATCAGAATCGCGGGGCAGACGTGAGCTGGACCACAACGAATCTGGGGCCAATCCAATCCACGCCAGCCGTCTTCGACATCTGTGACCTCCAAGGCTACGACATTTCCCCGATTCTGTCACTGTCTCGACCTGGGGGACAGGCCCCTGTCTCTGTGTGTGTCTGTCTGTCTGTCTGTCTGTCCGTCTGTCTGCTCGCCCTGCCCCCCTGCTTCTTCCCCTCCTTCACGCTGCCATACTCCTAGGCTCTTCTTCTATTGGCGTGGTGTAATTACGCTGGCGAACCCTGTCACACGGTTACTCCACGTAGAATCGCGTGCTCTTCCTGGTCGCCTTCACTGTCCCCGAGACGAGACAATCGGCGGGTTGCGCCCTGCCTCCTGTGTGCCACCGTCCAGCTGGAGTTGTCTTGACCTGAGCGCCACGTGAAAGCCTTCAGGTCAAGCGGCCAGAAACATACCGGCCCACTATCTCGCTTGGAGACGATCTGCGGAGCGACAGTGTATGCTCTTGGAAAGAGAAAGCTGAATATGCCTCTTGTCGAAAACGTGCATGGACGAGGCTCTGTGAACTGGTATTACGTCTTCACAATCTTGGTCATAGGCTGTGGATCCATCCCAAAGGGGTACGATGAGGGCGGTTTCAGTGCTGCAATCTCCCTGCCCTCTTTCAAAAATGACTTTGACCTCGACTCAATTTCATGGGCACACAACGCATCAGGTCTGGCCAGTCGGGAAGCCAACATCACCTCTCTGGGGGTTCTGGGTGCCGCCTTTGGCTCGCTCCTGGCATTGGCCATGACTGACCGCATCGGACGGCTGCGAAGCTGGCGCATCCTCGCATGTGTTTATATGACCGGTAACGTGATGCAGGTTTTCTCATCTGGTATCTATGGCTTCCTGTTGTTTGCTCGCATTTGGGGCGGCGTGGGTGCCGGAGGGCTTACCGTCGTCGCTCCCCTCTACCTTTCCGAGATTTCGCCAGCCAAGAGTCGAGGCATGATTGTCAGCACTTCAATGGTCTTTCTGCTCACCTTCTTGTCCCTTGGTATGTGCTCGCTACCCACTCCTATGTGCTGAACTCGAGACCAAGTAACGGAGCCACTGACTCATCATCCCGTGTTAGGCTTCTTTGTCAATTACGCAGCTAGTGCTACCTTGCCAGTGACGCGAGCACAATATCGGCTGGTTATTGCCGTACCCTTGATCCCTCTAGGGCTCGCTCTGCTGGCGTCTTTCTTGATTCGCGACACGCCGCGCTGGCTGGCTTCCAAGGACCGGGCAGACGAGGCACTTAGCGTTCTCGCGCGGCTGCGGAACGTCTCAAGTGATGACAGCCAGCTGCAGCTCGAGTATATGGTGATACAGGAACAGGTACGCTCGCAAGAGAAGCTGCTATGCGAGACGTCCAACTGGAGTCTAGCGAAAGAGGTATGGACCACATCGTCGTACCGTAAGCGGTTTCTGCTGGCGACAGCAATGCAGACGGTGGCGCAGTGGTCCGGGGGCAACGGTATTACTTACTATATTCCACAGATCTTTGGGTATGCTGGAGTGACGGTGCACAATACATCGCTAATCACGTCGGGAGCGTACGGCATTGTGAAGCTCGTCTTTACCATGATCTTCACGTGGGGAATGGTGGACGTTATTGGGCGGCGGCGGTGTTTTGTATCAGGCCTGTCGATGCAGCTGCTGGCGCATGTCTTCATGGCCATTTACATGGGGGTCTGGGTCAGCCACGACCGCTCCAACAAGGCGGCGTCGGACGCGGCGATTGCCAGTGTGTTTCTGTACGCCGTGGGCTGGTCGATTGGACTCTGCACAGTACAGTACCTGTACGGGACCGAGATCTTCCCTACGCGTATCCGCAACGTGTGCTACGCCTTCAACATGGCGCTGCACTGGCTCTTCCAATTCGCGGTCGTGCGTGTAACGCCCAACATGTTTGTGTCGCTGCACATCTACGGCACGTACATCTTCTATGCTTGCTTCTCGTTTGCGGGGCTGGTGGTGCTGGGTCTGTGGGCGCCTGAGACCAAGGGCGTGCCGATGGAGCGTATGGAGGAGCTCTTTGCTGGACCGTGGTGGCTGGGCTGGAAGGCCAGGGTTGACGCGGACGCAAGTGACACGCAGACGCTGCGCAGATCTCGAGCCTCGTCGCCGGGAGGTCTAGTAGAACGGGGCGTCGTCCACAGCGAGAAGACGTCGGTGCACGGGTATGGCTCGACAGGGGCGAAGCCACCATTCTGAGTTGCTTGCTTGCCTTTATGATCTGTTTCCTCTCTTC